CCATGGAGATTTAAGCCATGCTAGGCTGCTATGGATCATAGACATGCAGAAAAGTATGTAAGAAGGATACATATGGAGAAAATGCACACTGTTAAATGCCAGCACACACCAAACACAAACAACCAGAACATAACACATTACAGACAGTTGGCACACACTGCACACACTACACAGGCTGGAAAGCAGCACACATGAAATATGAGGTATAACACTGGGCACATTACTCACAGCCTTAACACACATACATGAACACACAGTGGTGGAGGGGACCACAGTGGGTGAGTCACTTAGGGTTATTCACTGAACTTCAAATGTTTACAAATTTTTCACAGATCAGATATTGTTTCAGTTTTCCATTCTGATTCATAAAATGCTACCTTTAAATAAATGATGGCTATTGTAATATATTTTGGAATAAATGGTTGGTGGCAGGGAAGGTCAGGTGGTGGAATCGATCTTGTTCATCTTGTCCAAATGAAGAATTAGGATCATAACCAGGAAATGGACAAAACATCAGAGAAATTTAATAGCCTGTCCTTCAATATAATCCCAACTCAGGTGTCAAAATTTTGCTTACAGAGAGAACCTGATCCATTGCATTTAGACTGATCCCACCCATAAGGCAGTCCAGAACTGAAATACTGGCAAGTTCTCTCTGCATTAAAGATACAGCAACCCTGGATAAACATGTCAGTCTTCTTTCGGCCTCATTAGCGAGGTGTAGCTGATACCCCGCTGTCAGTGAGCATGAGGTCTACATCTGGATTACACTTTTAACTTAGGGAGAACCATATTAATTTATTATAACAAAAGCAGAGAATATGGTAATATAAAGGATACTTTAAGTTGGTCAATTCTTCCTTATAAGGTTATGAAGCTTGCTTTGATCATGTATCAAATTCTTATCCACGCGCCATTATTTAACATTCGGTGGGCAGTCTATACAAACTGCATGCTTACCTTTAATCAGTTAAAGTAGTGATTCAGTGTACCTTGATGTCTGTCAGAGTTATTGCTTCCTTAGCTCAAGGGCATGGTTCAATCAAGTCTGAATAGGGAGAAAGGCTGCAGCATTAAAAAGTCTCCCCAGGTCAAGAATAGGAGCCCCGACAAATATATTTCCAGACAATGGTTTGTATTGGCCTCAAAAACATTTGTATAATGCTATAATATCCCTACAGTGACACTGTTTTTCTAAACTAAAAAGATTTAAATCTGCTAGCCATTCCTCATAACTAGAATCTTCTATTTCTCTTATTAATTTAGTAGGCTGACTCTACTTTTTCAAATATCCTTCTTTAGAACAGTTTCACAAAATTGCATGACATATTCAATGTGTGGTCTTACCACTGATTAATAAAGAGGCAAAATTATATTTTCACCCCGAGAGTTAATGCCCATTTTTATGTGGGACACTACCTTACTGATCTTAGCAACTACTGATTGACAGTGCACATTGCTATAGCAATCCCCAAATACAGTTGCAAGAAAAAGTATGTGATCCCTTTGGAATGATATGGATTTCTGCACAAATTGGTCATAAAATGTGATCTGATCATCATCTAAGTCACAACAATAGACAATCACAGTCTGCTTAAACTAATAACACACAAAGCATGAAATGTTGCCATGTTTTTATTGAACACACCATGTAAACATTCACAGTGCAGGTGGAAAAAGTATGTGAACCCTTGGATTGAATAACTGGTTGAACCTCCTTTGGCAGCAATAACTTCAACCAAGCGTTTCCTGTAGTTGCAGATCAGACGTGCACAACGGTCAGGAGTAATTCTTGACCATTCCTCTTTACAGAACTGTTTCAGTTCAGCAATATTCTTGGGATGTCTGGTGTGAATCGCTTTTTTGAGGTCATGCCACAGAATCTCAATCAGGTTGAGGTCAGGACTCTGACTGGGCCACTTCAGAAGTCATATTTTCTTCAGTTTAAGCCATTCTGTTGTTGATTTACTTCTATGCTTTGGGTCATTGTCCTATTGCAACACCCATCTTCTGTTGAGCTTCAGCTGGTAGACAGATGGCCTTAAGTTCTCCTGCAAAATGTCTTGATAAACTTGGTAATTCATTTTTCCTTCGATGATAGCAATCCATCCAGGCCCTGGTGCAGCAAAGCAGCCTCAAACCATGATGCCGCCACCACCATACTTCACAGTTGGGATGAAGTTTTGATGTTGGTGTGCTGTGCCTCTTTTTCTTCCAAACAACTCAACTTTGGTTTCATCTGTCCACAGAATATTTTGCCAGTACTGCTGTGGAACATCCAGGTGCTCTTGTGCAAACTGTAAACGTGCAGCAATGTTTTATTTGGACAGCAGTGGCTTCCTCTGTGGTATCCTCCCATGAAATCCATTCTTGTTTAGTGTTTTACGTATTATAGATGTTAGCATTTGCCAGTGACTTTTGTAAGTCTTTAGCTGTCACTCTAGGATTCTTCTTCACCTCATTGAGCAGTCTGAGCTGTACTCTTCCAGTCATCTTTACAGGACGGCCACTCCTAGGGAGAGTATTTTTTATAGGGCAGGGCAGCTGTAACCAACACCTCCAATCTCATCTCATTGATTGGACTCCAGTTTGCTGACATCTCACTCCAACTCTTGGAGATGTCATTAGTCTAGGGGTTCACATACTTTTTCCACCTGCACTGTGAATGATTACATGGTGTGTTCAATAAAAACATGGCAACATTTCATTCTTTGTGTGTAATTAGTTTAAGCAGACTGTGATTGTCTATTGTTGTGACTTAGATGATGATCAGATCACATTTTATGACCAATTTGTGCAGAAATCAATATCATTCCAAAGGGTTCACATACGTTTTCTTGCAACTGTACTTTGCATGAGTTGTTATCCCTAATTCACTAGCTTATCTATATAAATCCCTCTGTAGTGCAATAATACCCTGCCCACATTGTACTACCTTTCCTACTTTTCTTTAATCTTCAAACACTGACACATGACTTTAAATTCCTATTTCAAGATTATTTATAAATATGTGGAATAGAAGTGTTCACAGAACAGATCCCTGAGGGTCATGTCTTCCCACGTGTGTCCAGCTTGAAAATGTACCATTAATGACAACTCTCTAAACTTTATCTTTGAGCTAATGTTCTACCCAAACAACAATATACAGGCAATGCCAAGAAAAATTCTCCAAATACAATAGTATATAATAATTAGTGTTCTTAGTTTGTTTAGCGCTGCTCTATTCCTTGTTCTGTAATGTTCTACCCAAGAACAATAATTATCCTCTAGACCATTTTTTTTTACTTTGAACACTAACCTATTGTGCGGAATGGTATTGAATGCCTTGGCATAATAAAAGTACATCACATCCACTGCAACAACCTGATCTATACTTCTACTTGCTACCTTGTAGAGTGCAATTAACTTAGATTAACTTGGTTTATATTTCATAGAACAAAGTTGATTTTTGCTAATAACATTGTTCTTCCCAATGAATTCCTGAATATTATCCCTTAATAATCCTTTAAATACTTTCTCAGCCACAGAAGTTAAGCTTACAGGTCTATAATTTCCAGGCAAACATTTTGAATCCTTTTTGAATATAGGAACCACATTTGCCTTTCTACAATCCACTGGCACAATTCTTGAAAGAAAAAATCCCGACTATAAAAAACATAGGTTTTATTTCCACACTTAGTTCCATAGGTATGGGTGAATACCATATGGCTATGGCAAATTTTTACATTTATTTTCTATATTTGCTGCAGCATCTTGTCTTGAGTCATCCAGTTTTTCTGCAAGTTCTTTTGCAGCAATGATTTGCATATCTCCATATCTGCCAGTATATATCCTCTTTGATATATGCTCTAGACAAATAATTACATTTTAGAATATAGGTACTTTAAACACACTTTTAGGGATTGGTCTTGCTCTCTTTGGCTATCATGTTCTAATTTTCTAGTTCAAGCCAATTACTTTATTACAGACTTTTATTGGCTTCCTATAGCTTATATAGGTGCTTCTGATTTATCTGGCCTTTTCTCATTTTTCATTTCTTGGCTTACCTTCCTACTAAGCCACATTGGTTTTAATGTGTCTCTTTTATATTTGTTACCCACTGCTATATTATGATAAGTGTATATTTCTAATATTTATTTAAAGATATTTCTCAGTGGGGTTTTTTTACTAAAAAGTTTATGCTAGTCAAAATGGCCCTTATTTTACTGAAATCTGCCATTATAATTGTAAATGTATATGTTTTCGTATATCCCATGTATGAAAAAAATAGTCTGGGTATAATGTGTCTTCACCTTCTGTGACTGTTCTTAGAACCCATTTATCTTTGAAAAATGAAATTGCAGCATTATGTTTTTGGTATTCAATAATGCTTTTTTTTTTTTTCAGAAGGCAGATGAGTTTCAATACAGATACAGTGGAACCTCGGAACTCGAACTTAATCTGTTCCAGAAGGCTACTCGAGTTCCAATTCATTTGAGAACTGAATCAACATTTCCCATAGGAATGCATGTAAATTTGATTAATCCCTTCCAGACCCCCAAAATTACAGCATTTTAACATAAATTTGACTGTTTCATAATGCATAAAATCATATTGAAATAAAATAATAACACAATGTACAGTAAATTAAATGTAAATGTCACTTCACTTTACCTGTAATGATGAGAGTTGATAGTGTAAATGGAAAGGAGAAGAGCTATCATTGTCTGGATGGAGAGTCGCCATCCGTAATTACAAAATGTACTAATTGTTCTGGCATTCTTTCCCTTGCTTGTTTCACACCATTGACACCTGGTTGAGGCTCATTGGCATTTTCTTCACTAAAAATTTGTCTATTGAGACTTGCTGTTGCCTATGTTTTAAAATGTGTCTAAAGTGAGGTATAGCATTATCATTGAACATGTTTGTGGCATGACTTACAGTAGCTTTATCAGGGTGATATTTTTCAACAAAATTTTGCACTTCAACCCACTTTGCACACATTTCTTTGATCAGTGCACTGTGAAGATTTTCCCTTCCCTCTTCCTCTGAAGACAATTCCTCAAATGCCCTAATTTGCTGTTCCCTCTGAAGGTCTTGGAGTTCTTCTGTGATGAGTTTGTTCTGGTGATCCTCCACTAACTCCTCCACATCTTCACCATTCACCTCCAAGCCCATTGATTTCCCCAGAGACACAATTTCCTCGACAACAGGAGCACAACAGGGCCATTCAATACCCTCATAGGCTGTTTCAGAGACAACCTCTGGCCACAATTTCCTCCAGGCTGAGTTCATGGTCCTCATAGATAAAGCATACCCCCATGCTTTATCTATGAGGTGTAAACAATGTAGGATATTACAATGTTTTTTTCAGAACTCCCTAAGGGTTAGCTCTGTGTATGAAGTTACTTCAAAGCACCTTTGGAACAATGATTTGGTGTGAAGCTTCCTAAAGTTTGAAATTACTTGCTGGTCCATGGGCTGGATATGAGGAGTTGTACTGGGGAGCAAAAGCTTCACAGTAATAAAACTTAACTCCTCCATCAATTCGTACTCCAATCCTAGAGGGTGAGCAGGAGAAATATCCATAAGAAGCAGAGCCTTGACAGGTACATTTTTTTCTTGTAGGTATTTTTTAACACTTGGCCCAAACACACCACCCACTCAATAAAAAAATACCTGGTTACCCAAGCTTTGCTGTTAGCCCTCCACATCACCTGCAATTTGCTTTTAAGGACATGGTTTTTCTTAAATACCCTCGGGTTCTCCGAGTGGTAGACTAGCAAAGGCTTCAATTTAACTTACATTCCCACAGAACAACAGGGTTGTTATTTTCACATCAAAGAAACAATCCTTAGCTCCAACTACACTAGAAAGGATGAGAAATACAAAGACATATAAGTGTTTGCAGATTTGTCATCCAAAACCCTATGAGGGAGATGGACTTTCCGCAACATCACAGAAAATCTCAGACAACATTGTATATCATTATTGCTAAGGATTTCCAGAAAAACTACTTGTAGCCAAAGGCGGCAAGATCACTTCTATAATTTTAGCAGCAGTAGGCACACAACTGCTCTAATCGTGGGGTTACCAGCTGGCAACAACCAAGACAAGCTCAGGATGCAGCCTTAAGCTTCAAACAGAATGGAAGACATCCCATACCAAAAGAGCCTTGCAGAGAGATGAGTGAAACTAGATAATTATTGTAATGTTTTACTTATTATGCTTTCCGTTGTTTTATGTTATGTTTTGCCACCTAATACATTTCTTTAATAACACCGAACCTACCTCTGATGTGTGCTAGTTAGAGATAAAAATTATGATTTTGTGCTTAGTAGTGACAGGGTGGATTTGGGTACTTGGCTGTTTAATGAAGAGGTTTAAATAAATAAGAATGTCAACAGAGCAGCCCACCTCGTTTATGCCTCACCTGGCAATTACTAGACATTTGTATGTGCCCATTTTGATGACGGATATAATTATTCACTATATTTCCAAGGTAATTAACTGAAATCTATACTACTTGACATTAGGTCTTTAAAACATATATAAAAAAAAAGTCAAAATTTTCTTATTCCGATATATATCACAAAACAACACCCCTATAGGGGTTGTAAACATCACCCTATCCTTATTTTATGGTATTGTTAAGTCGGCTTACTCATACCACTCATTCCATGGTAAATTAACTGTGGGTGCCTCCCTAACATTCACCAAAGACTTTTCATGCATATCCGACTCACACACTTACAAACTGGCACGACCATCAGATGTGGGGATTTCAACCACATGTTTCACCCAGATATATAAACTTCAATACCACAAGCAATGGTGGAATTTAGAACCCTACATAGGCAATGTAAACAAATTATCAAGCTGCTCTCCACTTTTGAGCTGTACACTGCACTCAACAGACAGAGTAGTATACATACTACTTACAAGCACACAACTCGTATTCTTGCAAAGCACGCACATTTCATGAGTTCAACACTGTGAGAACATGACCTCATTGACTTTAAAGGTTGAAGCCCATGGAGGCTAACTGAAAGCCTGCTCAGTGACCTAATATCTGTGGCCACTGTAGAAAAAGATTAATGTCACAGACTCCAACTCCTACACAGGCACAGCAAGGTTAATAGCAGGCAATCCCTATTTGCTGGTCTGTCCCCCACAATAGATGAAGTTAAAGTATCTTCTAGAAGACTCCTGTTTGGAAATATTATTATTATTTTGTTTACTGCTCCTCTTTTCCCCCCCTCTATTGGTCACTTATAACTCAATCTGTGAATAAAATAAAAGTGTAGTGGCTTTTCCCTAACCATCAGTAAATTTTTTGCAACTCTTGACTGGACAGCAGATGCAGCCCATATCACTGGGCAGACCTGTTGCCCAACATGACAAAATTACTGATTACATGCCCTCCCTAAAAATAAATCAGCTACTTCTCCATTCCATCTCCTTTTTTTGGAACCAGGAATGGAACTCTGAATCCCAAAACAACTGTACATTTTTGTCCATCTCGCTAGTGGTTTGGTTGCATGGCATTTTGAAAGTACAGAATCCCGCTGTACAGCCAGTAAAAACAAATGTACACGTCTTGTGAATGCAAGGATAGCATGCTTTAGTTGTTATGGTGCAAGGAATGCAATCGTGCCCTCCCACTGTAAGTAGTCCAACCACTTAAATGTTACCACATTAGTTTATATATCAGATTCTTATTTTATAAAGTTTTATAAAGATACATTTTATGCACAAAATAAACCATCATTTTACGTTACCTTTTTAAAGTCTTCATTTCCATGCTTTAGCTGAATACAAAATAAATACATAAAATAAGCAGCTCATATAATAAATGCAAAACAGCAATTTTGTGCATAAACAACTGTCTAGTGAGGTTTTTTTAAAAGCATTAATAATTATATATTATTATTATTATTATATTTATATAGCGCCAACAAGTTACATAACGCTTTACAATGGGTGGACTAACAAACATGTAATTGTAACCAGACAAGTTTGACACTCAGAAAAAGAGCGGTTGAGGGCGCTGCTAATCCTCGTTAGTATATTGGTAAGTATCCCCGCCTGTCACGTGGGAGACCAGGGTTTGATTCCCCGACGGGGAGGCTGAGTTTTTTTTCCAAATCACACACAGAAGAGAAAATAGCACAGTCAGTAAAAAATGGGGATAAAACATTTTTTAGATACATAAATGAGAAAAGAAAAGTAAAACAAGGATTAGTTAGATTAAAAACAAAAGAAGGAATGTATGTAGAAGAGGATAAAGGTCTAGCTGACTGCCTCAATTAATATTTTTGTTCTGTATTTACAGATGAAAATGAAGGAAAGGGACCTCAGTTGAGAAAAAGTATAAATGAGTCATTTATTACACATGAGTTTACAGAGGAAGAGGTTCTATTTCAACTGTCAAAGGTAAAGACAAATAAGTCAATGGGACCTGAAGGAATACACCCAAAGCTATTAAAATAGCTTAGTGGTGTACTAGCAAAACCATTAACAGATTTATTTAACCAATCATTGTTAACAGGAGTAGTCCCAGAAAATTGGAAGTTAGCGAATGTTGTGCCCATTTACAAGAAAGGTAATAGGGAGGAGTCGGGCAACTATAGGCCAGTAAGCCTTACTTCAGTAGTGGGGAAAGTGATGGAAACCATGTTAAAGGATAGGATTGTTGAACATCTGAAACACATGGATTTCAAGATCAGAGACAACATGGGTTTACTTCAGGGAGATCATGCCAAACTAATCTTATTGATTTTTTTGATTGGGTAACTAAAATTATAGATCAGGGTGGTGCAGTAGACATTGCTTACCTAGATTTCAGTAAGGCTTTTGACACTGTTGCACATAGAAGGCTTATAAATAAACTGCAATCTTTAAGTTTGGATTCCAATATTGTTGAATGGGTAAGGCAGTAGCCGAGTGACAGGCAACAGAACGTTGTAGTTAATGGAATGTAATCGAAGCTTGGACTTGTCACCAGTGGGGTACCTCAGGGATCTGTACTTGGACCCATTCTCTTTTTAATATTTTTATTAGTGATATTGCAGAAGGTCTTGATGGTAAGGTATGTCTTTTTGCTGATGATACTAAGATATGTAACAGGATTGATGTTCCAGGAGGGATAAGCCAAATGGCAAATGATTTAGGTAAACTAGAAAAATGGTCAGAATTGTGGCAACTGACATTTAATGTGGATAAGTGCAAGATAATGCATCTTGGACGTAAAAACCCAAGGGCAGAGTACAGAATATTTGATAGAGTCCTAACCTCAATATATGAGGAAAGGGATTTAGGGGTGATTATTTCTGATGACTTAAAGGTAGGCAGACAATGTAATAGAGCAGCAGGAAATGCTAGCAGAATGCTTGGTTGTATAGGGAGAGGTATTAGTAGTAGAAAGAGGGAAGTGCTCATGCCATTGTACAGAACACTGGTGATACCTCACTTGGATTATTGTACACAGTACTGGAGACCGTATCTTCAGAAGGATATTGATACTTTAGAGAGGGTTCAGAGAAGGGCTACTAAACTGGTTCATGGATGTCGGGATAAAACTTACCAGGAAAGGTTAAAGGATCTTAACATTTATAGCTTGGAGGAAAGACGAGACAGGGGGGATATGATAGAAACATTTAAATATAAAAGTTCAATTGATATGCTTTTGTGAAGAAGTGAGTTTTTAATGATTTTTTAAAGGAGTGGAGACTGGGTGAGCATCTAATCATTTGATACCTTGGTCAGAGCTGTTTCCACAGAGTGATGAGCACGGAAACAGCGGGTCAAGCAGAGAATTGAACTTGAGGAAGTCTTTAAAGGATATTGGACACAAAAGGCAGTAGCGAAATAGGGCGGTAGTTGGATTAGGAGTTAGGGTCAAGGTTGGGCTTTTTTAGAATCAGGGTTGCATGTTTGAAGGGTAATGAAAATTTGCCAGATGAGAGTGAGAGATTGAGAATTTTAGTGAGAGGCAAAGCAAGGGAAGGAGACAGAGTACAGATGAGATGTGAGGGAATAGGATCAAGTAATGAAAGGGAAAGGAAAGAGATGAGAGATCTCTTCCCTGATTGTAGAGATCTTGTCAGTGAAATGTATTGCAAAGTTTGTGGTGGTTAAGTTGGTAGGAGGAGGAGGAGCAACAGGGCAAAGAAGAG